TGACTATGGGGTGGCCGCATCGTCGTTTGGTGACTATGGGGTGACCACATCGTCATTTGGTGACTATGTGGTGGCCGCATCATCATCTGGTGACTATGTGGTGGCCGCATCATCATCTGATGACTGTGTGGTGACCACATAGTCACCAAATGACGATGCGGCCACCACATTTCTGGTGACTGTGTGGTGGCCGCATCGTCATCTGGTGACTATGGGGTGGCCGCATCGTCGTTTGGTGACTATGGGGTGACCACATCGTCATTTGGTGACTATGGGGTGACCACATCGTCATCTGGTGACTATGGGGTGACCACATCGTCATTTGGTGACTATGGGGTGGCCACATCGTCATCTGGTGACTATGTGGTGGCCGCATCGTCATCTGGTGACTATGGGGTGGCCGCATTGGCATCTGGAGACTGTGAGGTGGGGGTGGTATTTGCCAGTATGTATACATTTTTCAACGGAATGTGTCGAAAAAGCCATTTCTGAGATACGCAAAACGTATGCTTGCCCACTATAATTTTGGAAAACACATTTTATAATTATTGCGTTCCTTTTAAATACTATTAATGGGGTAGCCTTTTTGAGTGATCGAAAAGCATCTTGTAGACGGGTGAAAATAAAATAAACGAATGGTAGTCTTGATGCACGACTGAAAAAGGGGTGGGGGTGGAAGTGATATCGCAGAAATTGGAGGCTTGGGTTAAGTTTAGATTTTGGTAACTGATGTTGTGTTTTAATTTTATGTCCAAAGCTTCTGGCCGTGCGCTTCATTATTAGCATACGCTCGGAACGCCCCACTGACAGCAAGAAATCAAACCCACGCCTCCTTCGGATATGTCATTGGTGCCTGGTGTCGATTACCTTGGAAAAAAAAAAAACTGGTTTGACCAGGTTAATTTAATGTAGATAAAGTGTGGGGGGGGGGGGAGGAGGAGAACGGATCATGACAGCACTGGGTTTTTATGACTATCAAACATTTCACGAAGGTAGTAGACCCAGTGGCATAGGACGGGGGTGTGTTGGGGGCAGCCCGTCTCGGGCACCACTTTATTTTTCTTCTTTAAATGAAGGGGAGGTATTTTCGCTCAACTGCAGAGTTTGTTTCGTTTTTTCCTTGGAAGAGGGCGGCAAAAACCTCGACCCGTCAGGGTGGCATTCACCCTTGCAATTCCATCTTGCTTAGACAAATCTTTTTCTTCTGTCGTATCTTTTTTTTTATGGACCTTCTTTCTTTTGCGTTTTGCTTCACCCCGTGTTCCAGAGAGTTTCACTTCTATGCACAAATTAGAAGCAACATGCTTAGCTTCGCTCCACATACTTTCCGGCGGCTCCGAAGATATTTCATTTCTAAAAAATCAAGGGTTTTAAGCTGGACACTTCCACATCCAGCTTTGCTGTACTGGGCTGATTAACCATGTTACAGAGATCAACAGGAACTAATATTCTGTACCCAGGGCTGGCGCCAGAGTATTTGGCACCCTAGGCGAACCTGTCCCACTGCGCCCCCTATGCCCATTAATTATTTAATTAATATGCCGCCCCCTAAAAATTTGCCGCCCTAGGCGGCCGCCTAGTTCACCTAATGGTTAAAACGGGCCTGCCTGTACCAAGCAACAGACATTATCACACACATGAAGGTCCCTTTATCTCTGTTCTTACTTGGCGATTAGATTCAACTCCACTAAGACGTTATCTGATTTGATGCCTGGCAGGTGCGTTACCAAAGCTTTTAATTTTCCTCATACGGTCTGAAACAAGCCGTGAAGATAACAGACAATACACTTCTACAAGATTCCCCATCGCTGTGGGCTGGAACTAAACAAGATGTAGGCACGCTTGTGCAGTGCCAAAGTTATGGCTTCAGCAATGTATTCTGGGACGTCATTTCCACATACATTAAGTGTGTGACTTCATTTCTACACACATTAAGTGTGTGAGTTCATTTCTACATACATTAAGTGTGTGACTTCATTTCTACGCACATTAAGTGTGTGACTTCATTTCTACATACATTAAGTTGTGACATCATTTCTACATACATTAAGTGTGTGTGTGACATCATTGCTTCATACATTAAGTTGTGACATCATTTCTACATACATTAAGTTGTGACATCATTTCTACATACATTAAGTTGTGACATCATTTCTTCATACATTAAGTTGTGACATCATTTCTTCATACATTAAGTGTGTAATCATTTCTACATACATTAAGTTTATGACATCATTTCTACATACATTAAGTGTGTGACTTCATTTCTACATACACTAAATGTGTGTGTGAAATCATTTCTACATACATTAAGTGTGTGCCATCGACATGGTGAAAATAAGGCTCTTTCACATTGCTAAGCATTCTTGCCTTTGCACCTTTATATTTTTCTGCCATATTACCGACAAACCCATTTTCACGATAACCGACCGTGGCATGTTGGGTTATCTCAATGTTTCTACTGCCATATGTGCTATGCAATATCCCGTCTTATGTTCTTGTATCGACAAACAGTAAAAACACGTTAAACAATTTTCATATGGTATAACGCAGCGGTCGGCAAACTCATTAGTCTAGTCAAAAGAGCCAAAAGTCAGCAGAAGGACGATTAAAAAAAAAAATTGAGGGTTAAATTTCTTTTCAAGAACATGTCAAGAACCATGTATTTCGGAGTCAAAACTGTTTTGTGACCGACTGGCCGAGCCGCAATCAGGTCGCTAAAGAGCCGCGTGCGGCTCGTGAGACACGATTTTCCGACCACTGGTATAACGTAACGCAAAAGAAATGTTGCATGTTCAAGTTCAACGTGGGGTCGATCTGGCGTGAAATCAACAATAAGTATAAGTACTTTGCAGTTTTCCAGTTCTCCAAAATGTGTTGCTTTAGAAGGGACGAACATTCAGCAATGAACCCGTCTTGGAAATCGGCTCTAAGATAATGTATTGAAAGCAGGGCTACTACTCAATTTTTTTTTTTAATTCCCAAGATTTTGTCAAAATATTTCCGAAGATTTCCCAAGATCATGAAAATATATTGAAGGTTTTTTTTGTGTTAATCTTGGGAATTTAAAAAAAAAAAAAGTGAGTTTTGTTCCTGATTGAGGTAGATCTTGGAAAAATTCCCAAGGTGTGGCACACCTGATTGAAAGTCATTCTCCCCTTTCTTGTGACTCTTAAACTTGCTGCACCTTTTCTTTTAGAATTGTATCTCTATGAGAAAACAACTCTATGACTCCAAGAAAATGTCCATTATCCCTTTTCCCCCCTGTCCCGGGAACTGCTAAGTGCTACGCAAAGCAAGATACCGTTCACCAAAGAAAAGCACAAAATGAATGACCCGGTATTCATTTCATACTGTTGTACCACTTGACAGATTCTAGTGTAGAGCCACTGCTTTTCTATATTTTTCTACCATGTTTATGATTTAAGTATTGTGAATGTTAGTAGTTTTTTTTTTTTTTTTTTTTTTTTTTTTTTTTTTTTTCTTTTTTATTTTTTCCACCATCTTTGAGTGTAAACTGAAGGGGCGTACATTAATTACGTCAACAAAATGGGGGGGGGGGGGAATGTTTGACAGGTGTTGACAATGGGAAGGGGGGGGTTTAGACTTAGATTAGTTGACGTCAACAATCATGTTTTTCTATAAAAATTTTAATCTTAAAAATTGACTGGTTATTAAATTATTTAAAAAAATTTAATGAGTTTAAATAGTCATTTAGGCTTTTAACAATATACGAGTTATTTAATGTGTGTCTGTCTGTGCAATACAGATGGTTGGTCACCTGAAAAACAATCTTCAGAAGTGGTACTGAACACGAAACTCTTTTACTTTTATTATTTTATTATTAAAAATAATTTCTTTGGCTAGACTAGACATTCATATTTTTCCTTTAACGTTACCTATAAGTTAAGTTACTAGTCCTGGATCCAAGACTGATCCCGAAACTGTAAAAATAATTTTACATAAAAATTTAACTGAAAAATTCTGTTAAATTTAAACAGCAAAGGCAAAGGCAATGCAAATCAGCTGTTGTAATTTATAATAATGAACTTCGACCTTTGACATTGAACCCCGTTTCATCATCACACCAGTTTATATAATGTAATAGAAACGAAATTTACACCCATTTGATTATAGAAAATTGGATTGAAAAATGTTTCTTAAATAAAATTGAACTTTCAAAAGGCAATCGGTGAAGCTAAATTTGTTAAATTCTTTTTCGAAGTGGTATCACCATTTGATAGTGGTTTATTTTTCGATTACAAAGACCTTATGGTATGACAGTTTATGGCGTTTCTGGGGCATGGTCGATACCGGCCTAAGCAAAAGGTTCTAAAACAATTTCGATATTTTATGAGCCACTAGTTTTTCTTTATTATGGATTGTTTCTTAATTTTCTTAACACATACGCCATACGCACGTATACAATGTAAGCAACACAATATCCCATCACGTTGCATGTGACCTAATTAAAGCATATTATTTTAGTTTAAAAGATGAAATATCGTTACTATTAGTTGATAAGGTAACAATTACCCAATTAAAAACTAGTGTTTTTAATTAGAGCCCAATTGAACTTTTCAAATATTTTGTACATAGGTCCACTGAAAAATGCTAGATATTTCATACATTTAAATATTATTTACCCATGTCTTAATTATGGTCCATCATATCTACACCAAAATAATAATTTTAAAAACAAACAAGACAAATAAGTAGAAACATAATATATTGACTACCAACAAAATCAACCTGATTCAGAGGATCATAGTCAGAAATGTCCATAACTGAGACTTAGATTAGATGTGTAGTATGATAATTTTTAAAAAATAAATATTTATTTGCTAAAAATTACCACTTTGACAATTATTTATATTATATGTTGAGCCTTACAGATTTTAAAACATCATGCTGAAGTAGGATTAGGCTTAATGCAGTTAGTTCTCACTCTTGATTACCCTTTACTTATTTTACTATTAAGAATAGGCCAAAACTAGTCATATAGTTTAAGAGACAGTGATGTTTCTGTAAAATTTATAGCAACTGATTTTCGCTGATTCCAAATAATTATCACTCACTCACTGCGACGTCATTGGGAGCATCGAATAAAGCAATATAAAATGGAATCGATACCTAATTATTTGGAAAAACACAAAAATTAGGTTCCTTTTTATGTATCGGCTGATTTTCACTCTAGCGAAAGCGGAGTCGCTAGCAGTATTGCCTTGGATTTGGACCTGTTACCTCGTGGGTAACTAGAGGTAAATCTTTCATATATTTAAAAAAAAACACAGTTGGACTACAGCCCCATTTCTTTTTAATTGATAGAAAACTCTATAAAAACCTTGTAAACTATGTTTGTTTAATTTTCATCGTATATTTTTGTTGTTGACCTCTGCCTCTGCTCCACTATATTAACGCGTGACACAGTTCAGATCAATTCACACTCAGTGTCAGTGGTCGTGGTGACACTTGCTCACTCTTATTCTTAATATTATTTTTTTTAAATAAATATTTCATTCACTAGATTTAGACCTAATAATTTGTCTTTTTTTTTTTGCGAAATGACTTGTGTGCCTAATATTTACTAATATTATTTCTAGTGTAGGTCTGGGATGTTTAAAAAATGTATATTTTAGATTAGTATATTAAAAAATCAGCCTTATTCAATTAATTATTATGGCTATGCCGCAACAGACATATAGTCTGTATAGTGATGGTGACAGTATAGCATAGAAAAAGATAGGGTAGGAGGATGGGCCTATTATCTGTAGTAGTAGTAGTATTAGTATTTACTATTAGTATTAGCTAGTACTAGTAGTAGTGCCTCCTGATCCTGAGACTGACCAAATTCAAATTTTTAATTTTACCGTCCCCCTTCCTCATAAAAAACTGCAGTTGGCTGAAAATGCATCAAGATAAAAGTGCCCAGGGCGGACTCCCCCCCGACCCACCCCCATTCTACGCCAATGGGCCTAATTACCTATTTTTATATTATTTATTATTATTAATTATAGACATAATTAACTAGGCATAATTCATAATCAAAGTTAAGCTTTGAAATTACTTTTTGCTTTTTTTAAAAATCTAATCATAAAAAATTTGAAGACTAATGATTTGTTCATTTATGCCATATTTGAATTTGATGGGATTTGATTGCCACTTTTAAAATCAACCTTCCATTAGTGATCTCACACATCTAGGAGGAAAGAGGAAGCCAATAATTTGTGGCAATGTGCTATGGTTCTAAATTCTAAATTGGGGGTGGGGGGGTGTAATAATTACCCAAAATAGGCATAGGATACCTAATTTCTCCACTTGGTTATACAGCTTTTAAAGTAAGATTATTTAGACCATGCTTATGCCACAATAGCACATCTATGCTTTTATTTATTTAGGTTTAAACAATATGTACACATTTGCCATTTGGGCTTATTAATCAGGCATATACTGTATGCTAGGCTTAACATACTTGAATTTTAAAAAAAAAAAGAGAAAACAAGTTCTCATGGGCTATTCAAATTTTTTGTCTGAGTAAATTGAAAAGATCTTAAAACACAAGGGGAAGAGTGCTAAAATTCACTTTTTTGGACACTTTTATGTTAAATTAAAAAGTGAAACAAGTTCTGACATTTATGTCATTTGCTATGAGTTGACCTGTCATTGGATACATAATCGAATAAGTTTAATAGTGTACCTAGGTTCAGTCTAGTGAGCATGAAAAGATTGTGTTAGGTCATATTTGGGTTCAGATGTAGTCCATATTATTAACATGGTCATAATTAAATGAGCTGTTACTATCAGTGGCGCCAGATATTATTTTATCTGTGTCCATTATTGGGACCTCCCTTTTTAAACTGAGCAATCCCACTATTACAGTTTTGATAAGTGTTTGATTATCTTTTGCACTTTAACATTTGGATATCTGTTTCAAGCTGTTTACAATGCCTGTTAGTTGACCCCATTATACAAAGCAGTTAAAGATGGGGGGTGGGGGGTGAATTGAATAATTTTTTAAGCTAGGTTGCCAAGCCCTCCTTTTTTTTCTCCCAGTCTTTTTTTTATTTTTATATATGCTTCTCTACTTAAGACTACTCTGTCTAAAACTAAAAATTGTGGAAACTGTCTTATAAACTTATGTTAGAAGTGTTTTTTTTTTTTTTAATGTGTGTTTTTGCATTCATTCACTAAATCTTATGACATACTGATATCTAAGAAGTTATCTTGAATTTAATTTTAAACTTCCCTTGTGTTTTACCTTGACTTACTTTGTATGCTTTATCTGTATTTTAAGCAACTAGGTTACAGCTTGGTAAATAAATTAGAACAAATTGATAATATTTATCAGAAGTTCAGTGGCCTAGTTTGATGTTAATCTGCCTCAACAAGTGGTAAAAGCATTTACTGAAGTGATGCTAAATATATGATTTTATCTTACATAGTTGTTATTATAAGACTAGAAAGGATTAAGAAGGGTGAGAGTGCATTCGGTTTATAAAAAGGGAAATAAGAAACACTGTGTAGGGGAAAACTAAAAAAGAAAGTATGTAGTAAGTTTGCATTGAGTTTCTCTCAATTTGACTTTGGCTCTCTTCATGCTTTTGCACTGTATGTGGTGTGGGGGTGGGGATAAAGATAGTCTAACTTAATTTTATATGCATTAAAAGGGTGAAATTATTTTTATTTTACACATGTGGCTGTTACAGTAGGAAGTAATACAATTTTTTGAAAACTTAAAAAAATCTGCAGAAAAAATGGAAGCTGCAACACCTTTGTGTCCCACTGGGAATACAAGGAAAAGACCAAGTCGGTTTCTTCTGCTATGGTTTCTCTTTCGCACAATGCATGTAACCCACAGTGGGGAGGAATCTAGTAAACCTGAAGATGATCAAGTAGCTGTTGCAGATGCAGTAACTCCGTTAGAGGATGATGTCCTTGCCAAGGTCAATCTGCCCAGAAAGTTGCCTTCAATTGTCGACATTAAAAAGGTTTTCTTTTTTTTTTTTTTTTTTTCAAATGGTCCCTTAAACAATTTTTAGTTGGATCTACGCTTTATTTTTACTTAATTTTATTCAGTGGGAAAACATTTAAAATTTTTGGATTATGTAATGAAAATTAAAAAGGTTTTTTTTTTTTTTTTTTTTTTTTTCAAATGGTCCCTTAAACAATTTTTAGTTGGATCTACGCTTTATTTTTACTTAATTTTATTCAGTGGGAAAACATTTAAAATTTTTGGATTATGTAATGAAAGGATGTTCCATATTGTAGCCATAATTATTGCATTGGTCAGAATAATTATTAATATAAATTACTGTACAGTAAAAAGTACTCATAATAAATTCTGCACAATTTAAATCTGATAATGTTGAAGGCAGCCTGTTGAAGTTAAAGAGCGGAAAAGGACGAACATTGGTGTAAATTTCACGGTTTTTAAAAGTTATACTCTTGAAGTTAAAGAGGACAGACAACAGTATAAATTTCACTGTTTTTTAATTTGTATTTCTAGGCTGCAGCACAACTATCCAATTGTGTGTCATTTGTTTCCGAATATATCTTTGGTAATTGAACGGCAAAATAATAGCACATTGCCTTTTTTTCTTTGTATTTTTCTAAGTGAAATTTATACATGTTGAGTTATTCTGTAATCCTATACTTTTCAGGCATTGCCAGCTCATTGCTTCGAGTCCAATGTGTCACTATCAATTTATTACATGATAAAAGACTTCATTTTAGTGGCATTGCTGTATATCTTGGTTGAGTGGACCTGGGAAGTTTTTCCACCAGTTGCACAGGCAAGTTAATGGCATCATTTGTAAGCAGTGCTAACACAAATGTCAAATAATATTTGGGCCTGTGTCTGCATCTCTCAAATATTTTAAATTAGTAGAAAAAAAAATTTTAAGTATAAATATCAGAATATCTGCCTTATCAGCCATTCACCAAATTAAATATATTTCCAAGTGTTGACACATTAATCAGCCTTGCGATAGAATAAAATCTAGATGGCTTTAATAGAATCCAAGATTTTAAATATGGTTATTATTTGTGCCAAATTCAGATCTGTGCAAGTCTCTGTTTACACAATAACGCCAAGTAAACATTACACTAATTTCTGAACTGTGGAGACTTCAATAGTTTGATATGATCTAACAAATTGTTTTAATCTGTCAGGTTACCCTTTTTAACACATGCTAAGATTTTACGTGATAATTAATTTGATAAAAATTATTTTTATATGCTTCACTTGTGCATTATGCCATAACTTAGATTGAGAGTGCATTCAAATAATCAATGAGGAATCATTAGTCAAGATAAATTTATAAGAACTGTATTCAAGGGTTAAATTTTGGAAAATTATAGCAATGCCATTTACTGTATCTGCATCAAGAGATATTATGATTACATAACCCAAATAGATGGATTATAATTCAAATTAATTATGTAGCAGTTAATAATTTACATTTTATATTAAAATACAATATGTACATATTTTTATAGTTTTATAATCGAGAGTGCAACCCTTGTCAAATTTAAAATACATGTTAAAACCAGTAAAAGGTTGATCAATTGAATTATATATTTTTGGCCTAGAATTGAAGTTTAAAATATATTTAAGATTACATTTCTAATGAAATAATTGATTCATAACTTGTCCCCAGATTTTTATCACACCTCTGTTTTGGCTTGTCCAAGGGACACTTTTTACTGCCCTTTTTGTTGTGGGTCATGATGCAGGCCATGGGTCGTTTTCAAACTCTGAGGTTATCAACACCATTTGTGGAAATATTTGCCACACTTTTCTCTTATGCCCTTACTACATGTGGAAGGTAAGATTTGACCAGCAGTTCGGAAAATTAGCTGCTTTTATATTATGATTTAAGAACAAAAATGATTAAAGAGTGAAAATCAGTTATTAGGAAATCACATCTTTAGTTTTAAGGCAGATAACTTTCATTCAATCTAGGAATTCACAATATTTAGATGAATGTGTTGGCCATGTTATTTTATTAGTGGATATAATTTTATCTGAATTTATGCTTTTATAATTAATGTAAACAGATTAAAAAAATTTCCTTGCAATAATGTCTTTCTTGTTCTGACCCTACCCGTTGACAACTGAGTCTTGAATCACATTCTTTGAAAACTTTAACAAAAGTTGTTTAATTAAATTAAAATGTTCATTCATGAGCACTAATTTGAGATTGTTTGCTCTCAGGTGTCACATAGGAAACACCACAAGAATACTGGCAACATTGACAAGGATGAAGTTTTCTATCCAGTCCGTCAGAAGGATGTTGTTCAAGGTGTTCCTTTGATGCCTGGCTTTGGCCTGGGTGTCGGCTGGTTTGCCTATCTGATCAAGGGCTATAAACCAAGAGGGGTAGGTTTAAGCTTCTTATAGAGCTTCTCACATTTGGGCTGTTATTAGTTTTTATTTTAGTCAGCCCTGTGGCGTAATGGGTAACATTGTCTGCATCTTGACACAGGAGGTGGGTTAGAATTAGTTCAGGATTATCCACAGATATGGCTAACTAGCCAAGAGTCATTGGCTCATTTTTGAAACAAACGTGTTTGTATTAAATGCACATCTTAGAAAAAAGCAAACCATGGTTAAATAATTGCACATAATTGAATCAGCAGACCTGTTTACTCTTACGAGTGTATGCCAAGACCTGTCGCAACTATTATTTTAAGAAACCGGGTTTTAAATATATACATTCTTGTAGTTTTTCCAGACTTAAAAATAATAATTAAAAATTACATTTTCCTTGTTAAATTTAACCTGCTTTTATCACCCAGCAGAAATATGATTTGTTGGGAACCAAATATAATTATATTACATTTTCCCTGAGAGGGGAAGGTGGTAGTGTTGATTTAAATTGTTTTCGAGGGAGGGGGTCTATATATTTAACACAGCCACATTTTCATTATGATAGTGGAGATGATCATATTGTTGCTTTGTGTGTTTTCATAATTAACTCGCTAGTCACAGCAACAGTTATCAGCATTTAGTGACAGTTTTAGTTGCTTTTTTCTTCATTGCTGTGTGACGCAATTTTGTGTTATAATTATTTCGTCAGTGAAATGCAAGTTCAGAAATGGAGAATGCATTCTCAACTTCTCCGCGCAGCATTAGATTTTAGATTTCAACACATTTAATAGGATTTGAGAGGGCCGTTGAAATCTATTTTTTCGAACATACAAAACAGCTGTACAATTTTTAATACCTCTGTTTGGTTCCAACACCCCTCATTCTTTCACCCATTTAAAGCTTGTGATAGTTAGCAGGATATAATATATTAGTGGGCAATAGACCGAAATTTATATTGATTTTTTTTAAAATTTGAAACTAGCTTTTCCTAAATTATAAATCCCAAGTTACTTGGTAGGTTTTTGAAGGATGTCATCATTTTCATTTGTTAATTAATTCTTACTTAAATAAATTTTATTTTAAGCTGATCTGACTTTGAGTTCAATCCACGTTACATATCACCAGTACCTTTATTTTTACCAGTGACAGAATGATAATGTGATCTGCACGTTCACCTCAATACAAATTAAAATCTGTAGCAAATGCACATCTGCAAAACAAAGTGACCATGGGTGCCACTTTTCCAGATTATTCCGTATTTGTGAGGCTAAAATTTTTTAGCTGATGTCAAGTTACCGTACAACGATATTGTCTTTTCATTTAAATTACTACAGTTTGAAGTAGGCACCTTTCTGTTATATATATATTTTTTTTTTAAAACTTCTCAAAATCCGTTGATGTGAATGAAAATATTTCCCAATTGGAGAAAAAGTTCAACCTTATCAGCAACACCTCTATCTTCACCAGCTCAAGACCTGTGTTTTAGAAATTTTTCTACCCAAAATACGACAAATACTACAATAGTTTTTAGTTAATAAGTGATATATAAACTGCATTTTTGGGGGGCAGATTAAACGTCTTCAACTGCCTATGCTTTGTCTCCAGTTATCAGTTTTGTGGATAAATTAATATGATGTAATCATTGCACAAGAAATTATTTCTAGTGTATGAATTTTATGAGTTTTGTTAAGTTTCAAGGGTTTGAAAAACTTACCTCGATCCTATCAGCAGACCTGTTTACCCTCAAACTCTTAAAATTGTACAATATCATCACAAAAATCATCCAATACATTATCTTACTAGTAAAAAATGAACATACAGAATATATAATGTATGCACCTCAAAAATGTACATTGTACGCCATAATCGCCATAATCGTAAGAGTAAACAGGTCTGTATCTGACATGCAAGTCAAGTAGTTATTGTACACATTATATATACTGTTTGTGTATTTATTTACCAGTACTATTAAGATACTGTATTGTACAATTTTGAGATGATTCTATGTTTTTAGGAGTTCAAGAATAAACAGGTCTGAATCAGTGTAACAATTTCAACACTTAAGTGGGTAAAAAATAGAATAATAATTTGACACATTATTTAAATGGTATACCCTTCTCACAATATTATTTAAAATTAATAAAATGATTGCAATTCTTATCCATAAAAATACACATTTGTGTAAATTCATATCTGTATTAGTTTAAAAGTGTTTTAAAGATTTTCCTAAAGTGGCAGTAAGCAAGATGATTGCTTTCTAATGGAGTTTTAACTTATTTTTTTACAATTTGCTCATAAAATTTTTTAATATTTTCAGCTAGTTAAAAGTTGTCAGCTTACATGTAGAGATTTGTTTTTACCTGTGACCTATCTACTAGGGCCTTTTAAATTGACTTCTTAGATATCTCCCACCATTAGATGATTTCCAATCCCTACTGTTCAGCACCGGTATTTGTTTCATAGGATTTTCAGCTTCAATGAACTCTTTAATAAATATATAAGAAGTTTCATCTTTTTTTTTTCAGGTCCAACACTTCAACCCTCTTCATTCATTGTTCCGCTACCATGTGATGAACTGCACCATCTCTCTCGTATGCCTTGTCCTGTGGTGCATGTGCCTGGCTCGATTTAAAGAAGCATTTGGTCTCTGGGCACTCATTTATCACTGGGCAGTCCCCACGTTTATCTTTGGAAGTTACACTGTCATCATCACATTTCTGCACCACACAGAGGATGATATTCCATGGTATAGTTCTGAGCTGTGGGACAATGTGCGGGGACAACTTTCTTCCGTGGATCGCTCCTATGGATGGTGCCATTACATTATACACAAGTAAGAGTTAAATTGCGCAGGTATTTTCTTGAGAAAAAAAATGCTGCTTCGCTTCAGACCTGATTAATTCTAAAGTAATTAAAATTAATGTATTCAATGACAAGTCTTGTATTAGCCAAACATAACTGTTTCACTGATTTATTTTCAAACTTAAATGTTTATGAAATTATTCTCGCAAAGGTTAATTTCTACTTAAAAAGGTAAGGAAATACTGTGGATGTGTTTGCTTATTTCTCTTACAAATAGTAAATTATTATTTTATTGCATTTGCTGAATGACTTTTCTTTTTTTCAGTATTGGCACACATCAGATTCACCACTTATTTCCTAAAGTACCCCACTATCACCTAGAAGAGGCAACAGCAGCTTTCCGTAAGGCTTTCCCAAAACTAGTTAATGTACGCCAAGAACCAATCCTTCCAGCATTTTTAAGAATGTTCAAGAAATATGCCAGACAGAATGTTATTGGGAATGAAACACAAGTCCACATGTACAAGTGATGAAGCTACATAATATTAGATCAGGAACATTTGGCATTTATCTTGGTAGTATTTGAGTAACAGCATGCTTTACTGTACCTAAGTTATCCACACAAAAAGAAGACTCAATATAAGCCCAAGAATAACAAACCATGGTTCTTCCCTAAAGATATTAACACCATAGGATGACCTTATAAGATTTTTAAACAAATTTTTTGCATTGTGCTGAACTTAGAATACATTTCCTGTAGTCTGGAGAAATAATACTCTTATTTTTATTATTTTTTTTTGTGAATGTTGAAATGATAAGCTGGTATTTATCATGAGGTTGCAAATTGTTCTTTTGGCAAATATTGATCTTATGATAAATTCTTCTTCATATTTGTTAAATAATTTCTATATAATCTTGACTTCTCATTTAGTCAACACCTGCATTATATTTGTAATAGTTAAAATTCTTTTTTTTTTTTAAACGCTCCTGCTTATTTTATTAATTTCCTTACATTGGTTGTTGAAAAAAAAAAATCTTAATTCATTACAACATCCAGTATTAATACCCTCCCCTGCCCAAAAACATTAGATATCGTACAGAACAGACCAGACTTGTGCTTCAATTATTACTTTGGTTAATTGATTGTGGGTCATATGTTTTTGAAGTTAAGGGTCAATGGGGTGGGTCAACCATTTGAAACAGGCTGGTTTAGAAACAAATGGCCTAATATTAGAAGCAGTGTGGGTGAATGATTGTCTATGTATTAAATATGAAGATCAAAGTTCATTTATTTATCTTTCAACCAATTGACAAAAAAATTTTTTGTTACTGGCACATCTGTTAAGTTCATGAGAGTAATTTTATTACATTCCTTGTTGAGACAAGGGCGTACAATATCATACCAGGGTACATTTTTGGCAATTAAATGTATTATTTTTCTAAGACGATTACTTCAAATGTTGATCAAATGGTTCGATTTTTTAAAACTTTCTAATAAAGTGAGTAGGTATTATAAATTCCCAAAAATCAATAGCTGAATTTTAAAAAATGAAGTCAACTTTTTTTCTCTTATTTAGATTTTTTTTTTATTTTGAAATTATGAAGGTCCAAAAAGTTATGTTCAATTTAGGGCTGAATAATTGAAAAGGCTCTCAAATGGTTATAGCATTCAAATAATAATTAATGAGATTCATATAATAAAAAGGCACAATTGCATTTATTCTTTTAGGCTGTCTTTTTTCCCCCCAGTTAATTTTGACAAATTTTATATATGTGTTCACCTTACTTTGTGTAAGTTTAAGAAGCACTCTAATCAACCATTATTTTCAATGGACATTATTTATTTTTGTTCCAGTGTAGGTTATTTTTGTTTCAATTATACATGACATTTTATGACTTGCTTACTGGAATATCTCAGTTGTCTCACATTAGAAAGCTGTTTGGTGTGTGTTGAGATCAAGCCCAGTTTACCAACCTTGTGTCTTGTTGCTTAGGGCAATTTTATTTATCAAAACATTTTAATTATTAAAAGTTAAATGTTTGTAAGTTGACCCCATTCTGAAAAAAATAAAATTACAAATAGAAAATGTAAAAGAAACCCATTAAATCTTACTTTGAGTTTTGAATTGTTTCATTTTCATGTCTGACAAAAAAAAATGTATGTGCATCCTTGGAATGTCCTCTTTGTTGAATTTTTTTAAAAATTGTGTTCTTGTACAGTATTACTATTAAAAATCGGTATCATTCAAATTAATTAAATGAAAGAAATGAATTACTGATACTAACAGAAATAAAAGAAAGAATATCTGCCAGAAACAGGGCATGCTTCAGTAGTCAGAAATACTCTTAAGTAAAAAAACATTCAAAAAAAAACAAAGAAAACTACTGGTATATATAAATCTGTAATCAGACCAGTGTAACTTACGCCAGTGAAAATTGGACCCTAACAAAAAGTTTGAAAACCTATTAAACAGATGGGAGAGAAGTTCACAGGAAAATATATGGACCAACAAAGGATGGAGTATGGATGGAGAATACAAACCGACCAGGAATTAAAGTTTATATCAGGATCCCACACTTGTAGCAGAAATAAAAAGTGCAGATTACACTGGGCAGGACATTTGGAAAGAATGACAGGAGAGAAGAGGGTGCACCACCAAAATTGCTCAAAGGCAGACCTAGGCTTAGATGAATGATGTGGATAAAGTTTAACAGCAGCTGGGAATCCAAGCATGGAAATGAAAAGGATCAGTTAGATCTGAGTGGAAGGAAATGGTGAGGCAGGCCAAAGCACTACATGGGCTGTAGTGCCACAGGGATGAATGGATCATTTTTATTCATAAGTAATGCTTCTAGTGGAGTGCTGGATTTCATTTTAAAAATAGAATTGCTCTGCTTATTCCTGTTTTTCCCCTGAATCGGAATGAAGATCAAATTAAATTTAGATCAAATATATATATTTTGCTTGTGCTGTTTCCATTTCCGGATAGCGCCCAAAATATAATTCCCGATAACTAACTCAATTTTTAGTTTGGTGCGTAATAATATGATATAATCTCAAATTAAATTATGTTGTAATAAATATTCAGTTTAAGTGGTTGGGACACGATTAATATTGTTCATGATCATGGGTGTGAAATAAAAAAGTATTCAGTGAAGTATCATAATGGTAAGGGGTGTAACGAACCTTATCACACGCCATAGATGAATGAAAATAGTCCAACATTATTTTAACTTATTTTATTCTTTATTTGCAAGTTGATACAGCATATTTCACATTCAGCTCAAATTGAACACAATAATTATCCAGTGAAACTAAGTGCTAAATGTGGAGAATTGTGACTTAATCTGCCATATTCAGCTTTTTCTAGACAAATGTATCAGTACTTAATACTAATATTCTGGCATTGAGGTGCGTGCATTCAAGGTTTAAGCCTTAAATTTTGCCAATGGAGAGTATTTTCATGTTCCTCTCTGCAAGTGCTTCTGATGGTTGTCTGACTGAAGTCCTGCAGCATTTTTATTCACACCAATAAGTGGGTGCATTTAATTTTAAAGAAAATCTTGACAGCATCATGTAAATTCAAAACTTTTATTATAAGACTTCCAATTTTTTCCAGCCTTATTAATATCAGATTATCTCACAATGAAGCTGACTATTTGTAAAATAGCAGTTTCAGTGCAAGGAAAAAATAATGGCATAACAATTTTTATCCACTTTTTCATATACCCAGTAGTAATTAAGTTACATCCACATGTCCCTTTAGCTAAGAAATGGAAAAATCTGCTTTACACCAAAAAAAGGAAAAATAATTATTGTAATGGCAGCCGATACTGGTAACTACATTTTTTTTAGGAACCATAAATAATTAATACAAGTATAACAAATCTTTAAACAAATTATGATTTCTTTGTAACATATATATCCTTTTAATGACATTGTGTTGCCAAATATTAAATAAGTAAATTTCTGTTGCTAATTTGCCGACACATACAATCATTTTTAACATTATCTCAATTTATCATTGCAAAGTCAGTTCACTGTAGGTAACTAATGGCATAGTCATCTTGAATCTGCAATGCAGTTTATTTACCATGTTCCAAGTGCATATTTCAAAATGGAAAAGTTACGGCAAGACACATGTATATCAGATGTCATGGACAAAAATTACCATGAAGCAAGTGCCAGAAGCTAAAAAAATTGGACAGTAAACAACTACTTTTGTTCCCTACCATGTACGTAAACGACACAGAAATAAGTATCATTGTAAATTGAAATGCACAGAAGGCGGTACTATTCACAAATTTCCTGTTATGTGTTTTTATCATATGGAAACCAAATGGCACTGAACATAAGGGCTTAAAACCAGGTGGTATCATGTGGATGTAAATTATTAACTGACACTTTATACCAAACTAAAGCATTTATTTATCATGTTAGCTTTCGTGACAAGTCTGGTACATAATGGTTGAGAACAGGGCCATCAGTTGCAAATATTCATCAGCTCCGTCCATTAGGGCCTTGTCAACTTCCTGGGGTGAGATCAAATTAAAATGAATAAAAACATGACATAAGCATACGCACCAACATTAAAATTACAGTCCTGATGTGACTCCTCTGCTAACAAATCATAGAACCCTTGACAGAAATTAGATTTGGGTAGATTTTTTAAAAAAAAAGTCAACTGCCTCCAGAAAAAATATGTATCACATTAAAAACCTGCTGGAAGGACTACTACTGAATAAAATGGATAGCCATTGTTAAGGGGCGAGTGCTTAGCTTGTATAGGGGTCTAATGCTCAGCTATAAAGTCAAATATTTTGAAAAATGTCAACAAAAGCACACACAAAAATATCATACTTTGTTTCCATATGTAATAACTGAAATGTTTAAAGAGACTAAACAGAAAGAAGCCTGCCCTTATTTCAAGATTTCCAATCAACATTTTTTGGGGTGGTGAAACATTCTTCTACTTCTTGTATCTATTTCCCACACAAACATTTCATGCAGCTAAATTTTAAACTCAAACTTACAGCCATTTTTTCACAAATTATTGACTTTTGCTTGTCGCTAATATTTTCCATCATAATTATTCTGTCATGTAACTGATTTAGTAGTTGGGATGCAGCAAAGCCTTCCATGATGACATCCTGGAAAAGACACAAGAAAGGCCATCATGGCAGAAAAGTGTTTCTAGATTGTGTGGCAAATATGGGTTTAACACACAAAAGTCAGAATTTATTTCACTATCAATATCAAGACTAAAAAAAAAAACTCTTAGAGAAGAAGAAAAACATAAAAATCTAGCCTTGTTCTAAAAGAACTCCAACTAATTTAATTTCTGTTTCATTACTAATGTCAAAGTTTATATTTTTATTTTAATAAAAATACCATACAACCTCTTTACTTACAGCAATATTATATATTATATAGATGCCATTTAATAATTATAATTAAAACAATATTAAAAGTAAAAAATTTGAAAAGTTTTTCTTAAGGCTGGCAAAATAAATCATCATTATCCATTCCAATCATGTTAGACAGTAATTTTTAAATCTTTTTGAAAATGTTTTAAGTTGTTCCAATTGTTCCTATGTTCAACCTTAATCTTAAATTATTTTCTATTTTTGTTGCAAAGTGAACCTAAATTAATGAAATTGCTAACGAAATACTTGTATTGCTTTGTCCAGGTCTTCATATGAGTCCCGAGAGCACTTGCGAATAAGTTTATCTAAGTAATCTTCTGAAATAACCTGAAAATTTAGGATTCTGTTAGGTAAAAGCAAATTCTTGAGAAAAAAAGTTTGAGGAAAAAAATGTTTGCATAGGGGAAATGAAAAAAACAACAAAAAAACCTAAATTCTTTAAAATTTCTTGTTCTATGTATCAATCTTTGTTCATGTCTAAACCATTTGACTTGAAACAGGAAAAATGAACAGAAAAATGTATAAATGTGTACAGTTAGGCCAGAGTCACAGCTTATTTCACACACACAAATGAAAATGTTCAAAAGTGATCAAAGACTCTCCCAGGTTATTGTTTGTAATATTAGGCAAAGAGAGAAAACCCTGACAAAAACCTTGTCGGGAAGATACTTGAAAGGCAGGAAAAGAGTCTCTTCCATGGAAGCTAAATCAAAGCCAAAATGTATGCTGATGTACACGGAAGTGTTCTCTAAAAAAAAAAAAATTTCAAACACTTTTCTTACCCCAGAAATATTGTAGATCATTTCCCTTGAAATGGTTCCATCTTTGCCACACAATCTTGAGGCACTTTGCAATGTCATGATGGCTTTTCTCATGTCGCCCTCAGATGTCTTTAAAACAGCATCTACTGCCTACCATAATATATTTTGAACATTTTATAAGCGTAAATTGAAATTATACATATTGTACAAAAAGATTTTTAGAAAAAAATTATTTCTACTATTATTTCTGAAATGAGAATATGAATTCAACATTTGAAAAGAGATACCCATGTTAAGAAGACATTTGTGACTGTTACAAACATTGTCTTACTTGCTACTATAATTAAATATGATGCAATGTTATTTTTTTTCACCGAAGAACTCCTTCCTATGAGTGTTTTTGCACATGAATTGTTTAACCAACAACTAATAAAAATGTGAAGGGTTAAAATTCTTTTCAGACCTGGATTCCCAAAATAGTACAATACAGTCTCAGAATAGTACTTTATCATCTCAAAATCGTACAATACAGCATTGTAAAATCAATAAATACAGTATAATGTATACATTAAATATTCGCATTGCATGTGTGTCGTACAAAGGTCACTTCTCAAAGTAGTTGACTGATGTTTATATATTTATATGTGTTGCATTTAAAAATGTACCCGACATTTGCCAGTTTGATAGACGAAGAAATTGAGGACTCCTGCTGAAGTCACCAGAGTAAAAGTGGGGGTGGGGCTTGGTGAGGAGGCTAAAACCCTTTCCCCAAAATTTTTCTATAAATTCAAAATGCCAGGATGCACTTCTGTATAAACTTGAATATAGTTTTGCATCATTCTACACCTGATAATATTTTTGGAAAATCAGGTTCCCCTCACCTAGCTGTGTTCATACAAATCCTCTTGATTTTAGCAAGTACTTAATGGTAAAATTGTAACATAATTTATTACTTATTCTAATCTGTTTTTTAAAATCAGTCCAGGTGGGACTGAAAGGGCATGTACGGTCACAGAAAATGTATATGTACTACAAATGTGCACTTTTGCCAAAAAGGAAAATAATTGCTTATTTAATGAAGAAATAAGTTCACTTGTGATACATCTGTCGGGTCACAATATTTAACTTGGCAGGCTGCAGGTTGCCCTTCCCTGTATTAAGCCTAGGAGTCTAATTCTATTTTCTATTAACATATTGTAGTCTAATAACTATTGCAAGCTGAATGGGGAGAAGGGACGAGGAGTGCTTATGTATTAAAATTATACAGCTAAGTAGTGACTTCTAGAAATAGATTTCAAATGCTGCTTACTCGATCTATAAAAATATGTCAAAATCTAATGCGGAGCAGTTGAGAATGCTTTAAAAAAAAAAGATAATAGTTTTATCAATTTTTGCCACCTTGAGCAGAAAAACAAAATAATTATGTCACAAAATTATGTCATACAGCATAAGGAATATGTAATATAATAATACTAGTACTAGGGCTTAAAATGGTGCTGATTTTTTCCACAGGGTCTGGGTATTTTGTGGGTCTAAGTTTAAAAAATAGAGTTAACTTCTCATTTTCTATAATATATGCAGGCCTTTAAATAATAAGCTTATAGACAGTCCTACACCTTACCTCCAGGCCTTTAAACAATAGGCGCACAGACAGTCTTACAACCTGCCTGCCAGCCTTTAAACAATTGTCCTACAGACAGTCATTTCGCCCTACCTCCAGGCCTTTAAACAATAGTCCTACAGACAGTTCTACACCATACCTGTGGCTCTTTATTGATTAATATAATAGTCGCCTCAACCTAAATAAAAAATTCAACCTTCTTACTGAATTAAAACGTCACGCATGAAAGCTTGCTGAGTGACAGCTTTTTTCCCCACACAATGCTATTAATATAAAACATGTGGCTTGTTGTGTGAGTGTGTGTGTGTATGTGGGAAGGAAGCAGGACAAACCGGAAGCAAAATATATTTAAGAGATAATAATGGATGGTCCCCAGCCAATCATATTTCTGTTCATCCACTGTAGGGTGGAGAAAGGAGCTGCAAGTAACAACTGAAAACGTTTTATTTGTTAATTTTTTTTAATGGAAAAAACAACAGGAATAAAAATTTGTTAACATGGTCTCATAAAATTATAGTACTGACAGGTCTTGGCGCCCAATTGTACATTGTATGCCAAAATCATAAGAGTAAACAGGTCTGCCTTTTATGTTTTTTGTAATTGAATTGACTTGTATGTAAATTACTGACTGATAACTTACAGTATCTTCTATCAAAACACCTTCCTCATCACAAATCTTTTTCAGACGAGAAGACAATATATCCTCAGCAAGCATCTTGAATCTGAACTTTGCACACCTGGATGTGATGGGCTCAATGATGCGAGTTACGTAGTTACAGATTAAACAGAACCTTGTCGTTTTAGATTCACGCTCCATTGTCCGTCTCAAAGCAGACTTTCCACAATTGAAGAAAAATAAAACAAGTTAATTCATTCTTTTTTTATATTTAAATATTTCATTTAACAAGGGCACTGAAATCTGTCTAGATCATCTTTGGTCAATTTATAAGAGTTCAAAAGGTTAGGCCAGCTTTAATTTAGAAATATAAAATGGAATTGAATTTAATTTCATTCCACAAATTTATGTTCTTCAGACTAAAAGAAAATATTTTCTAAATTTATGACAAACAAAAGAATTATTTAAATCAGTGTTTCTCAAATCTGACAACGTAGTCCCCAGCATATTTCTTGGGGGCCGCAAAAACTTTGAAAAATAAGGAATTTATATCTATAAAAGGAGAAGTTTTTTAGATTAATTACAAGGAAGGTGTCCCGGAAAGTAAAAAAACATGGTTAAGTGGGCCTTGAACAAAAAAAAAAAAAGGTTGAGAAATGCTGATTTAAATGGGAATTTTAACCCTTAATTTTTAATTATCTTGAAATGAAATCAAATGAGGACAAGACCCCAGGCAATAAATTTCATGCTGGAAAAGAAAATCACCTGTGCATCTTTTGTCATAGAGTCAGCTTCATCTAAAATAATAATCTTGAATGGAGGACATGGTTTCCCGCTAGCGAAAAGATAAAAAAAAAATTAAAAAATTAAACTTGTTCAATTTATTTCATTATTATGTACATGTTACAATATGTAAAAATAATTAACTTTCCGCTTCATATGGAAATAATTCTATTTATGTAAAAGGAAATATATTTTTTTAACAGTGAAATCTTACTCTGATCTTGTACCCCCAGCAGTCAGCTGAGCAAACTTTTTAACCTTTTCTCTGATTACACTAATTCCTCTCTCATCGGATGCGTTTAGCTCAAGCACTCTATCTCTGTACAGTTCTGGGCTGAAATAAATTTCATAATCATGGCATTTTATTATCTTAGTTTTCCAGACATTTAAGCAATGAAAATGATTATCCGTCCGATTTTAGATTATGCATCTTCAGTCTGGGACCCATTTACCCAGAAGAGCATTGACAGGTTGGAGGCGGTCCAGCGACGAGCAGCACGCTTTGTCCTAAACCGCTACAGGAATACCTCTAGTGTTGGCAGCATGCTAGAAACACTTGGCTGGTCACCATTGGAGAAACGACGACGACAATCCAGGCTCTCCATGATGTACAAGATAAATAATGGGCTGGTCCACTGTTCCAGTATTAAACAGAAACTCGTCCCTCTCCCCCATAGACAGCGACGAGGCCATGACAAGCAATTCAGGCTCATACCAGCAAGAAGCCAGTATAGGAGCTGCTCATTCCTGCCCAAGACAATCAGGGACTGGAACCATCTTTCAAAAGGAACGGTTGAGGCGACAACACTAGACACATTTGTGTCTATTGCCTCAAGCCTTCAAACCCTTAGTGCATGATTTCCTCATCAACACCAGTAACAGAAACATTGCAAATCCCATCTACATGCATAGGAGCCAAAATGATCAATAAATTGATCGTGGGCCCTTAAGATATAGAAGAAGAAAAGAGGACAAGGCGGTTGCAATCTTAAAGGAGAATCAAGTTTTTATAATATTCTAACACTTCAGATTTGAGCATTAATTAAGCATTAGCTATTGGCAAAGGAGCATAGAGGAGACTCTTCTGAGATGATATTCAATGTTTATAATGATGTTAACTTACCCAAACAACTGTCTTGATGCTGCCAAAATGGTTGATGTTTTACCAGTACCAGGTGGTCCATAAAATAAAAGATTGGGTAGCTGAAAATGGAAATGCAAAAGTTACATTCTACAATATGCAGGGAACATTTTATGATTTCCACATGAACTCTTCAAATTATAAGGCATAAGAACAAACAAAATCATCCATTTTTCAGCTGGTGTAACATTATTTGTGACCAGAACTGAGGTAGTAGAATGTGCCTTACATCTGAGCCTTCCAGAGATTTCTTCAGGACAGCAATCACTTCATCTTGGTAGGCAACATCTTCAACATTCTTTGGGCGACTGAAATACATAGAAAATAAGTAGGTTATATATGTTCGCTTAAGCCAGGGGTCTTAAACTCAAATCATCCGGGGGCCGCAGTAGGTAGAGTCTGAGTGAGACTCAGACACATCAAGTATTCCACACAAAAAAAAGCAATTAAAAATTCATTAAAATACAACTGTTACAATCTGCTCAAACTTTATAAATAACAAATAAAAACATAGGGTTTTCAAGAACTAGGCTTCACTTTCTTCCTCCTACTCATTGTTGCAAGAGACCTGTCAGCGCTTCTTCTTACACAGCTGAGCAACTTTGGCTTGAGTGAGGAAGCAACTGAGAACTTCAGTATAGCTTGAAGATGCTCATCAGTAAGTTTGGCCCTGAACTTTGACTTGTTAAAAGTTCATAGTGGAAAAGAGCTTTTCACACAGATAGGTAATCCCAAAAAAGGCACATGACCCGCTTGAACAACCTGGAAATCTCAGGGAAGATGGAGGGCAATGCTCTCATAAATTATCCATGCTTTTCTATTTTTCTATTCACCTCCCTGAACTTAGAATTGCACTGAAGATCAATTAGCTCCATTTGAAGTGCAAGTGTGTGGGGGAGGGGGGTTTGCATCTTCCAAATAGAAGGAGAAATGGTCAGCAAAAAGTTGAAAAGTTGCTGTGTGTTTTGAAGTCTAAAAAAATGTGATCAAGATCAAATTCTTCTTTTTAGCTTTGCAATGGCATCAGTATACTTACTACTGAATAGTGAGCCCGAGTTCATGAGTACTTTGCATTTTGGGAAATGGCAGAGGTTTCTATGAGAACTATAACACAAGTTTTGTGCAGAATGCCCTGACAAGCTACCCCTGGTCTTGTAACTTCTTGTTGAGTAAATTCAGCTCCTGTGTAATGTCAACAAGAAAAGCCCAGTCCATGAGCCATTTGGGATCACTTAGTACAGGAACTTTTCCATGAAGACTAAAACGTGTTCAAACAGTAGGCAGGAGTAGGCAATATTTATGAATTATGTGATGGAAGATGCTATTGTAGAGAGAATGAATTTTGATTTTTTATAGAAGAAAATGCCTTTTTGACTAACCCTATTTTGAAAGTGACCAAGCTGACAGGCTTGGAATTTCTCTCACTCGTAAACACCCGCTGCAATTTTAATAGGGATTCTTTGATACTGTGTCAGTTTTGTCAGTTTGCTACGATTTACACAATTATGTTTGTGCATTACCCACTAACTGATTTTTTTAACCTTTTCTCAAAACCGCAATTTGGCCATGTTTGTCTCATAAAATGCTATAAAATAAAAACTTTTAGTACGATTTTTTAAAACTGTTTTGACCATTATAATCAACGTTCAAATCTATAACATAATAAAAATGATAGGTGCATGACAAGATCTTTTATAAAAACATATCAAGGGGGAGGGGTATGCATCAAGCCACTAATACAATCAAATAATCTACAGCTGATACATAGTCTGTATAAACGCAGTCTGACAAATGATCAGCACAAGAGCCATAATATGATATCACAGGTATGGAAGTAACATTTGAAAGTAGTGGCCTATGTCTTTTATTGATAGTAAATAGCGGTGTCGACATAATATTGGTTCACAGACAGTGTAAAAATATCTCAAAATTGTCTCCGTCAGGACAATAATGTGTTGAACAATTTTATTAAGCCATTAGTCTCACAAATATAATGTGTATGTTCTTGTTGCATTTAAGTAAATGACACCTACTATTTCTCAATCCAGGGCACGATCTTAAGTTTTCCATCTTTGGATTTCTTAGCTGCAGAGGATGAAGGTACTGGTGAATCAACTTTACTTTTGTCTGTTGAGACCTTTCCACCTTTCAAGAAGGCCTGCATTATGGGTGTACTGGGAAGAAAATAATTAATAAATGGGAATCTATGATGCAGACCATAGGAGTATGAAACAGGTGGCCAAAATGTCATGTTCTAGATACAACTTTTGGCCGTATACAAGAATGAAATTGTCATTTAAAACTTGGCTAAAGGGTACTTAAATTAATATTGATCATCTACATTTTAAAATATATGTGTGGGGACTTAAATTAGGGAGCTGCTCTGGGTGGCATTTACTCAAGCTACACAACTGGATATCATGCAAGGTCTGAAAAGCCAACCTGATTGTGTTGGAGCTGGAAAATTTCATACTTTCATAATTCTCTACTTTCTAAGAAATAACTTTTTATCCAATATTTATCTTCTCCTTCAATATTTCGAGGGCCCAAGATCAACTTTTTGATCATTCACTAGTAGCTAGTGACAGAAATTTATGATGATCATGAGCAGATCACTGAATTTAAATTCTAGGTACTTCAACAGGGGTGGTTGCAATGTTCCCTTTAAGCTGCGCAGCAATCTCACAGACGCCCCGCAGCAGTTTTGAGTACCGCACAGCAGTTTTGAGTACCGCGCAGCTAATTTCCACTTAAGTGTCTGTACGCTGAAAATTTTGCGCACAAAAAATTGATGCTGTGAAAATTTGCACACAACTTTATGATTTTGCACACGAACCAAAAACCTTAGAGGGAAAAATTGGGTGGTTGTTATCATAAGTCATAGATGGAATATGTTATTCAGTCCTCTGATTGAAAGAGGCGTAACGTGACAAACTTCTTTAAAATTAAAACCCAGACATTTTATTAATTTTAGCATTTAAAGCTAGTACAATTAAAATATTTTTGCACCAATGATGTACAAAAATTAACAATTAATTGGGATTACATGGAGAGCTCATTTGCCAGTGAGGCGGTCTTTTGAACAAAAATTAATCTGATGCTAATTTGATTTTAATTCAATTTCTTTTTGATATGTCATTTAGTTGTGCTGTATATCTTTATTAGATGTATTCAATCTTTTGATAAATAAATAAAAAAAAATTATCATTTGTTTTTAAATTTTGTACTCAACTGTAATGGTTTCAGCTCATGGTCACCTAACTTTTTGTTACGATTTGTGATGACAGGGGGTAAAAAATAGGCAAAATTTGCATGACATCATTTATGGATGGCCCCTTACACTAAAATGAATAATTATAAAGTAAAATAAAGGTTGCTTACTTTTTACTAATACTAATAACTACTAATACTAATAACTACTAATACTACAATTTATAATCAATTATAATTCGAGTTAGCTAATGTAATGTTCAACTTCAACTCATTATGTGGTAGACTGGCATCACTGACAGTGACTGTGTGATGCCGACTAGGCCTAATTGCCTAATATTTTATTAATATTTATTTTCAAAGATTTTTTGATTGAGCTGCTGTACATTTTGCTACTCCTTGAATTAACGGACTCTTGATCATTTTATTTTATGAAAACAAATTGTGTTATTTTGTATTTTTGGGCTGGCAGCAGTACCAGCCTTTGAGTTGGGTGCCTACGCCTACAGCATCAGTAAGTGTAAGCTGACTAAGTTAAGTTAAGTTAAGTTGTTAGTTATCTTTTAGTAATTAAGGCAAGTCTAAGTCTAAGTAATACATTACTGTACTAATACAAGTCCGAGTTAAGATTGAGTCAACGCTGGTCTTAGGTAAACTTTCGCCCTGTGCTAAGCACCCGTTCAGCGCCCCTATCCATGTATGGTTCCAACCTTTTTCTGATTACGACGTAGGTTATGGAGCACATGTTATGATGCTTTACATGTAGTGATGTAGCTAACCATATGCAATTTAACAAGCGCATTATTTAGAATGTTTTTCTATGGTACTTTGTTCCATTTCCAAACCACCTTTGGGGTCATCTATAATCTCGACCCTGGACCCCAGGTTCACACTTCACTATAATAAATTATGGGAATTTAAATATTTACTGGGCGCCATTATTATCACAGCGCCCTGTGCAAGGGCACAGATTGCACACCTTAAAGGCCAGCGTTGATTGGTATATGCATGGCAGCTGTTCTAGGGTGACCAAATCATGAAATGGAAAAAACGGGACACATCCAAGGAGAGTTTGAGAGGATTCCCTCCAGTTAAAGAAGGGTCTGGAGGCCTCTACCGGAAACTTTATTGAAATATGCTAATTTTAACTATTTTGAGACCTAGAAATCTTTTTAAATTTACCTTCACTTTTGTAATTTAATTTAAACTCTGGAGGCATATCATACTTTGGGCTAATGTGAAGAGATAGCACCCCGACGTTATTTGCATGTTTTGTCCCTGGTTCCGATAGGGTCAAAACCCAGCTTAGGGATAAGTTTAGGATTCAGGTTAGGTTTAGGGATAGATTTAGGGTTCAGGTAAGGTTTAGGCTTAGGGATAAATTTAGGACATAAGTTCGTGGGTCGTGGTGCTATCTCTTCACATTTAACTAATTTTGCAGTGAATACTTATTTATTTATACATATAAGATATATGGCAGGGACACTGTTGTTTACGCAGCGTCTGCAGAGTGGTGGAGGGGGAACAGTGCAGCCATCACGCGAGGCCACATCACTACACAGCTAGCCAATACAGTACTCAGTTATATTATACATTAAGAAGTTTTAGTGATTTGAAAATGTGTTTGGTTTTAGAAACGGGACATTTAGAATTTAGGCTTCCTGATGCCGAGAGACATTTACAGGACAATCCATTAATCCTGTTTTTATGGGATGCTTGGTCACCCTAGCCCTAGGCTAGGCATTCGGACCCGTGTCCCTTTAGACTAAATGCTATTCGGATGTCATTTGTGGTAGTTTATTTTAGTTAAACTGAAGAAGTAAGTTTACAAACATATGGTCTATTCAATTATATTTCATTTGATACTGAATTTTGTCTTACAAACAGTCAAAGTCAAACCCAACAAAAACATTTGGCTAAAACCGAGGATGGCTGCCACTGCGTCTTTATTATAGTTGCAGTGAATTAGGGTTTAGGTTAGGTTTAGGGATCGATTTAGGGTTCAGGTTAGGCATAGGATTCAGGTTAGGCATAGGGATCGACTTAGGGTTCAAGTTAGGCATAGGGATCGATTTAGGGATACATTCGTGAAATTCGATAAAAAAGTGGCAGGCGTCCCCATTTTTAACCCAATATTTTTAGTATTTTTTTAATCCCAACCCGAACCTCTCACTTCTGATACCCGGTCCGAATAGCCACTTCATTCTCCAAATATCTAAGAAATTAAAAAGACAACAAGCTACTATTATTATCTTTAGACCCTTCAAATTTTACCTGTTAGTTTCGATAATGAATGCAAATAAACTATTTTGAAATAGTGGAGTCCACCGATTTGTAAGGCTTAAAACCGGAAGATAAATATTACAGTTGGCGCCTTTCAGCAGTTCAAAATAACGTGCTATTTACACAATATTTACAATAGTATGCCTTCACATTTCGATTTTTTTTTTTTTCGTCAATATTTTGCTGTTTTATATTTATTAACGTAAAAATTAAACTTTAAAAAAAAAAAAATAAAGGATCCGAAATAAGAGTTTCTATCCTTATTAACCATTACTGTATTCGTATAAATGATAATGATGTATGTGGAGAAAATATTGTACCCGAGCCTGAGGATTTCAATAAAACTTTTATTAGTTAAAACGCTCTTGACCTGTAATTAAATCCCTGTTACTTGCGCAAATCATCAGCATATGTGACAAGGCTGTGAACTTTAAATTTTAACAAAATTCTTTTGCTGCCCCATCGGATACGACTTCTCAGCTAAGTGCTATTTTAAAAAAAATTAAAAAATTATTCTGTTTTTCTGTTGTTTGTTCGCCGACGAAAGCTTCCTGCCGACATGTTCATTGTATTTTTGCATTCCCTTTTTTGAGGTTTGACCTTACTTTGTTTTATTCATTTCCTATTTTGCCAACAAGATTGCAGACTCTTCCCTTATTATCTCATATAATCTACTGCGTGTTTCATATTATTTCCCTTAAAAATATTTAAAATATTCTCAATTCAAAATATTGTTATTGGAACTTGATCATTAGTCTATAATAGGAAAAGTAGAAATATCATTAGATTTGTTACATGATTTTTCAAGACGTTTCACTGACTCTTAATCGTGATACTCCTTGAGATTACACTCCTTGGGATAATAGCCTACTCTTTATGTGATAAGTTTAGTGATGATACACTTAAATATTTGTGACAATCTTATGAGTACTACTCTTATGAAGTGCTATGTGAAGGACATTCTGTATCTGATGCAAAGCTTGAAAATGGCACTCAAAATATCATTAAATGATATATTATTATGTTTCTATATATCAGAGGCATTGGGAGACACTGTGCCACCCAGCAGAGAGGTGCAGAGGGTCTTTGGGTTCCAAGAAAGTCCTAATTTTGGGGACCCCTATGTGGACAGGGCCCAGAGGTATTTACTCAATGTTCCCAGCCTCTGCACAGCCCTACCACCGGAATTGCACTTAGAGTAATAATACATGGAGAAATAAAATTATGTGCAACGTCTTTCCATCATTTATTAGGCCTGTATAAATTTTCGTTTATGTATACCGGAAATGCCACCTCTCACTGCGAACACCTTCCCGCCTTCCTACGCTAAGTATTTAAATATAATGATACAGTCTAATATAGTCCTCTCTCTCTCTCTCTCTCTCTCTCTCTCTCTCTCTCTCTCTCCCTCTCTCTCTCTCTCTCTCTCTCTCTCTCTCTCTC